AGGGAGGGAGGGAGGGAGGGAGGGAGGGAGGGAGGAGGAAAATGCCTTACAGAAATAGGTAACTACAAACCTTACTGGTCCCGTAAGTTTGGTTCTCTCTCAGAGCTTCAATACAAGTTCTCAGCGTCATCAGTGATTGATTGATGTTACCTGGAAGAGCGAATGGCATTTGTCTAACATCCATCTGACATGATGCCTAGCCGAGAAACAGTCTGACTATGCGAGAATTTCTTAATGTCCTGTTTCTGAGAGGACAATCTAGACCCTTGCGATCACCTCTCTATCAAAAGGAAACAGAGCCACTTTGCACTTTCAGTATCCTTGCTTGGCAGGCACTCGTATCCTCTAAGTCAAGACTAGTGAAGAGAAATTTCCAATTCCAATGTAAGGACCATTTTAGCTAAACTTTGGACATTGGTGAAACCTTAGCTAAATTACAATTATGGAAAGTATAAGGGGAACATTTACAGCAGGTGCCACACCTGGTGAACCTTGGCAGATCCAGTACTTGATCACCAAGAAATCGCAAGACTTTAGACTAGACTGGAAAGTAAAACAAATTCCAGAAGGCTGTGACAAACCACTTCCATACTGTTGCCAAGAAAACTGTTATGATTGCCTCAGGGAAGACACCACAAGTCAAGCCTGACTAAAAAGAAAACTTTACTTCACAAGGAAAACTCCCCCCAGATAACCCTAACCATCTTCCTGATGCATGCCCATTTTCCCAGGAAAAAGGCCTAGAAAGTACCACAATGGATAGGTAAAGATGCTCTCCTTACTTCTGTCTGCTAAGAGCAGGAACTGAGAGTGTTCCAGATCCTTTGGGATTAAATTTAAAATAGCATTTTCCATCTGGATAGTTTCTCAAGACTAAAGGAATTCCACACTAATTTTTCTGCAAGATTTATCACTTCTGATAAGGAAAAACAAGAGCCATCTTATAACACAGACAAAACATACAGAGAACTAAGAGCTAGAAAAAACCCTTCTGGCTAGAGAAGGAACTTTTAAAGAAACTTCCATGTATCTGGTGGGCCCTTGGCCTCTGTAGTCAGTTTGTGTCTTCCCTCACATGTAGTCAGTCCTGTTTCTTTCTGCTGGGAGGGGCAATTCAAAAGGGAATCTCCTTGCTTGATCAGAAACAACAGTTCCATCTGAATCCCAAACAGAAACCCCTGACTGAAAGGAAGACCTGGTGGGGTCTGGGTACCAAAACACCCACCTGCTTCACGGAGTCTGTTTCCTTCAGCTTTGGTTCTGTTTGTTCTCTCACTTCCTGCTAGGTCAACCAGTGATAACTGGCTCAAAGATATTAACTCTCTCTCCTAAAGAGAAAAGATGTTGTCACAGTTTTCAATCACGAAGCACGACTACCAGCACATGCGCACACACACATCAGGCTGGGAAGGGAGCCAGTTTCTTCTGGCCTTTTTAAGCTGCAGTCAGGATTCTCAGCAACACCTCATGAGTAGTGCTACTGGTCAGACAATTGTCACTTTCTGAAAAGTTTGCTAGCCCACCTCAATTTTACCTGCAGAACATTATCTCCGTCTGCATTGAGAGGGGCCTGAGCCAGTTTAATTAGAAACACACTGTGTGAACGACTAGATTCTCGATTCAGCTGAGTATGTGCAATGCGCCTCTTCTTTTGGCCTGTTAAAAGGAAAAAAGAAATATTTAGATCAAGCAGAGTCTAAAACCATAGTAAGAAGCATCATAATGCAGCTAGGGCAGAATTTTAGTTATCATCTCTCAAAAGGATATTGTAGATCTGGACAAAGTGGGAAAAAACAACCCAAACAACCAAAGATTGCAACACCTTCCCTATCAGAAAAGGCCAAAACATTCAGGCTATTTTCGTGCCCTCTGGAACATCATCCTCCCCCCGGAACACGGCCCCAACCCTGCCAGCCTTCAGGAAGGCCCTAGAGACATGGCTCTGCCACTGTGCTTGGGGGATCCGCAACGGTGGGGAGCTTTTACCATGGCTTTGTTGAGCTTGATGCAAGGATGGATTTTGCTTCTGTCCATGGCTATTTTTGTTTTCAAGTGATTGATTTTTTTTATGTTTGTATTACTGATTTTTAACTTGTTTTTTATTGGATTGTTGTTTTTAACTATTGCGAGCCACCCAGTCACTTAGGTGATATATGTGGCCATATAAATCAAATCAAATCAAATCAAATCAAAAAATATATTCTAAATGGAAAAGGATTACAGTAAATGAATAAATGATAGATGTGTTTTGTTACAAATACATCCTTCTAGCTCCTGTAATTTACCAGTGAAACTGACTGGCAAATGCAGACAAAAGAGGAATGCTGCACCTTAAAGATGAGTTACAAAGTTTATAATTATAGCCACTTGAACAATGAAGGCTTTAAAAAGAAACAAGCAGATTAATGGGACAATGCACCATGACTTTTAGCCCACGGCTCTGAAGCAGGGGGGTTTCAATACTGTGTCCAAGTCCCATTTGGGGGCTTTTCAGGGGAAGGCAGGGTATCTGGTTGGCTAATATGGGAACAGGACGCTGGACAAAACACGCCTCTTTGGACCCCTCGTGGCTCTTTTTTTTTTTTTTTTA